GTGGATCCTGGTCCTGCCCATAGAAAAACCAGGAAGGAAAACTTGCGCAGGAAGTCTCAGAGAAATACTAAGAGAGGTAGATGCCAGCTCTGATCCTATTTCACATCACCCCCCCACCCCACCTCTTTGTTCCTTCCCCTCCACTGTGACTGCAGAGCATGTTGAGTGTCTTAACAAGGAAAGGGCTCACCACACTTACAGGAACTGCCTGGAAACACTGGCCACCCTGGCAAACCCCAAGCCTCTGTTGTATGGACTGTTTAGGGGGTCAGCTGGCAGGTTTTTCATTCAGTGAGTATATGTATATTGGCCTTGGCTACTGTGCTTGGAATGGCTCCTGTGGGGGGTGAGTTTGGCTGGCTGGAGTTTAAAGGGAATTAAAACCTGCAAGTTTTAAAAATACAGAGATGTATACACACTCAGAACAGCTGAATGCTGAGCAGATCCCCAAGATGCTGGAGTGTACCTGTCAAGATAATGAGCAAGTCAGCTACCTGCTCTTCTGTACCATAGCCAGCCTCCTGCCATGGTGGGGGGGCCTGGCACCATCTTTCTCTGCAGAATCTTCTTGGAATTGAGTAAGACTGGAAATGTATTGAGCTGGGAAGTGTCTTCACAGTACAGCTGCCTCATCTTCCTGCTGTGACTTTCCCCATGGCTCCTCCTTTCTGTTCGTCACAGCATTGTGATTATCTAGGTGGCCCCTTAAGGAAAGATATGGTGTGAAGGTGAAAAAGTGCATTTCACCAAGGCATTGACTTCAGAAATGACATCAAACTACAAATGTAGAAAATGTCTTAATATTCCCCAGTTTGCTTTGTCTGTGTTTAATAGTCTACCTGTTGCAAAAAGCAGTAGTGTTAAAAATGGAAATGCTCTGTGGGCAGAAAAAGAGGGAAAAAATGCTGATGTTTTGTTCTTTGGCTTTATTAGTAAAGATTAAGCTATGTGGTGGTAATTTGTGTGTCTGATTTTTTTCTTCATTGTGGTTCTCCTTCCTTCCCTCCAGCACTGTGGTGATAGCTGTCCCACTGATCTGACTGCTGAGCTACTTCCCTGTCTCATAGTCCTGCAGGATGAAACACACATCAGAAAGAGGGCAGATTGGTTTTTTGTGACCTTTCCATTTCCTAGCATTGCAGGTGTTTTCCCTGCTGCTGCTTCCAAGTGATTTTTAGTGTACATTGCTTAGTGCAAATCTCTGCTTTCCTTTGTGGCCACACAGATCCCGTTGAAGAGTTTGCAGCTAAAGCCAGACTCAGGGTGAACTGGTTTTAAAAACACATGTATGAAATCTCTGTCCAGCTGAAGAACAGCTGTTTCCCTGCTTTGAGGAAGTTGGAAATGTTCCTCTAGGTAGGCTTTAACAGAAGGAAACATCAAGTATGCTGCAGGCAAGGGTTAGTATTTCTGTTTCACAAAGCCCCTTGTGCATGGCCATCTTGGCCACTGAGAGAAACTGCCGTTTTTTTTGGATAGAGGGGATCAGTTCTGGTCTGCAGACAATTTGTACAAATTCAGGGGTAGGTGGGTAACTGCACTGGGGCTTCTCTAGCACAGCAGATCTCTAACATCTAAACAGCCCATGAGAGATGCATTGGAAGAAGTATGTGTGCTGTGTGTCACCTCATAGCTAGGCACCATTGTTCTGCCTGAGCCCTGCCCAGCAGCAGCCTTTCCTAGTGAACTGTTCACTTTTCATGTCGATTCACAGTCAGGGCCAGTGTGATTTGTGCACAGGGACCTGACCTTAAACCACTTGCTTCTCCTTGACATCTACCAAGTGGATTGTGACTTGTAGCTATTAGGTAAGATAGGGTTAGGCAGCAGGAGAGAAGCAGAGTGAGACAGGTAAAGAAACATCCATCCTTGTGACTTCTCTCACAGTGTAAAGCTAAAATAACAGATTTATGCAAGAAGGCAGGGCTGCTTAACTTGTCACTGTTCCCTCTGCCTTTCTCTGCTGTCCCTTTCACCTTGCAGCACATGGCAGCTTGGAACAGTGGCTGCCAGTTGCACCTCTCATCTTTAATTGCCTTATTATCTAGCAGTTGCTTTGTAAAAGCTGTCTCATGCTGGATTTTGCCCTGCATGGTGTCTCTGTAGTCGTTTCCCTGCCAAATAGTACAAACTGTAAGGCAGCTCAGCTCCTGGTGACAGGGCATCATCAGAGGGGAGGTCTCCCACAGCCACATGGCCTACAACGGCATCCTGGCTCACCTACTCAATTAGCAATGTTAGACCAGAAAAAGAAGATAGGCTGTCTGAAAAAGTGTTATGGTTTCTTGGCCGACCTGTGTGCCAAAAAGTGATGTTTTGGATATATGTACATGAAGCTAAACTTTCTGAGGTTTTGGAGTTGTGTTTTTTAAAGCAGGGAAGAAAGAATACCTCCTTTGCTTCTTCACATGGTCTGAATACCTCTTTGGAAAAGTAGTCCTAGCTGTTGGTTGTTACAGCAGTGTAAGCTGCCACAGAGGCTCCAAAGGGAAAAAAAACCCCGAAAAGCACCCGCAAACCTTAAAAAGTTGTTACTACATTATCACTTCTCAAAGTGATGAAACACAGGGCCCACCAGAGCAAGGTGAACCAGGAGTCCCTGATGGTGCCTCTTCTCATAAAGCAGCAAAAATCATCTTCCTGAGGTAGATGAGGAGATCTCAAAGGCCAGCTGGGAGTCAGCTGCACACTGGTCCATTGTCTCTGGGAAAGGGCAGGGGAGTGCCCTACACATCCCCAAGGGCTCCCAGCCATGACAACCAACCTTATTTTGCAGTCAAAACACCACCCTGCCTCATCAACGGGGCACCAAAATCTCTCTTGTGTTTGAGAGAGGATGCAGTAGCTGCACCCAGAGAATCCCAGCAGGTAATTTACCAGCAGGTAAAGCACCAAGCCCCCCATGGGGAAGTTCACATTAGCAAAGCTGCAGCAGCTGGCAGCTCCTAGGGCATCGCCACTGCCAAGTAAATCCTGCTGGAATTGGTAACTAGAGGAAAGGCCTGTAAACAATTTGCAATTAAAGCATATGGATGCCAACACAGGTGTTGTGTTTTCAAGAAAAGACCAAGCAAGCACAGAATTCCCTGTATTGTATGAGGTAGTGTCCTCCATCAACACTAGGAAATAAACAAGCCAGACTTCAGGAGAAGTTCACCTGAAGTTGAATTTCTCTGAACAAAGGCTTCTACTCAATGTGTCCAGGACAATGCCAGTTGTCATAGATACATTTCATAATATAAAAGGACTTAACAACATCTATCTATTAACATGAGGTCTGTTGCCATTACTATTGACAGAAAAAGGTTATAATTGCTTTTAAAAAATTACGTTCTGTAAACACAACCATACTCAGTGACATATACACCTTTTACACTTCAAGTGCAAGCTAATTTAGAAAATATATACAGTTGTGATGTGCAGATGGATGTCATGTTCATCTATAAAATGTACTTTTTTGTTATCTGAAGTGTCCCTCAAGCCTAAGACTACACACACAGAAGGACTTTGCTTTGTTCCTTATTATGATGCACAGTAAGGGAAAGCCTTGGTTACAATTTCACCCAAGTCACGTATGCAGGAATGAACTTCTCCAGTGCTAGGTCTTCTCCAGATGACTAACTCCATCAGCAGAAATAGTGTCCCTTACAAGTTTTTCTGTGAGACACTCATATTCACAGCAAAAGGGATGTTTTGCAAATCCAGCTTGCCACCTAGAAACAAGTTCTCAGAAGCCAGTAGCACAGAACAACAGCACAATAAATCTTTGGCTCCCTGTGCAACTTCTGGTTATTCCAAACCACCTCAGTGGGACCTCTGTGCCCTGACTGGCATCACACAGGAGCATTCACCTGATACCTAAAAAACCACATGGGACTCCAAACCCTCAGCTGTTATTTTTACAGGTCCTTCAGCAGCAGGAGGCAATGGCATCTTCTTGTCACTGTTCAGTGGTATGACTGAATATGCACAAAGGGAGAAGGTCTCATTAGTACAAACTCATGTTTCAGAGTAACTTCAATTTTTTGCTCGACATGGATGGGTGTGAGAGCCCTAAACAGGCAAAGGGACTCTATGTTTATTTGAATATGTTTGTTTGTGGTCACACAGAGGGTTGGTCATGAGTACTCACAACAAAATGCATGAGATATTGAAATAAGAGATATTGAAAGCCAAACCATCTGTGCATCAGGTCAGAAAATGCTATTAAGAACCTGTCCAAAAATATTATTTTTCTGACCTAGAGAGGAGAGCAGATTTACAGATCTGTCACCTAAGACGACAGCCTTACTTGGTACTCTTTGTGGCAGCAGTAAGATTGTAATGAAAAATAATATTTCTCAGGGACTAAACTCCCATCAAGGTGAAAGGGAGTAAACTTGTATCTATGCTCCCATCCCTTCTTACTTACTTTAGGGAAAAAACCTTAGTATTTCAGTGTTTCCAAGTGTTGTGTCAAGAGGCACAAGTAGCTCTGAGGTTGTAATACCCTCCTCTTGTGCCAACATCCAGGTCATTGTCTGTTTCATACAATCTCAGTGCTGGTAAAACAAGGAGAGCCAAGATACTGATCACAGAGGCAAAGCCCAGGGGATGGACAGGAAACTCAAGTCCCAGTCCTTAATTTTGGATGCATCATTTAAAGTAGTAAGTCCCTCTTTTCTAGGGCACTTGGCAGAGCCCCTGCTATGAGTCAACCAATACTGGTACGCTGGTCACAGTGACTTTTGTCGGAGCATCTTTCTGTTATACATCAGAATTAAATTTTAAAAGAAATTCATAAAAGCAAAAGACGGTAATGACAATTTTTGGTAAAATCATTGCCCTGCTGCTTCTCCCTTTATCCTCTTTCTCTGTCATCTCCCTTAGCTGAGGGCATTTCTGCTGTGGGGTCTTAGGAGGCTGCACACCACTATGGGGTTGCAAGAACTGCTATCAGTAACCTGCCACAACGCAATTAAAACCTTGATTGAAACGAACAATAAATAAAGAGAAAGACATACAGGTTTTAAATATAGGTTTCCATTAAAAGCATTACAAAGACAACTTCTCTCATTCTGAAGACAAAGAAAAAATCCACTTCTACTAAAAAAAAAAAAAAGGAAAAAGAAAAAATTTAAAAATCACCCCTTTGCAAGTAACTTTAATGAGGAAAGGTGCGGGGAAAGGAAGGAGAGAGGACTTGGAGAACTAGCAAGTGTTCAAAAGGGCAGGTGCCCTCCATCTTGGTCATTTTGCAATTGCACCTTCTTCTCACACAGTCAGGTCAGAGAGGCAGAGTCCTCACGTGGAGGATTTCACCACCTGCTCATAGGGGGGAGGTGGTGTGTTGCAATAGGAAGGTGGGGGTGGGTAAACCGGGTTTCCTTGTGGGGAATTGGGCTGGACGTGGAAAGCCATAGCCATGGGATTCATCACAGGTCCACCTGGATCTGTGTAATACGGCACTCCAGGTTGTTGTGACCCTGAAAGAAAGAAAAAGAGAGAAAAGGTATCAGTAACAGCAGAGGCATCAGGTTGTGCTCTCTCAGGGCCTGTGCTCTGTGTACTCGGACAAGGTTTTTCAAAGCATTCCTCAGAGCAAAAGACAAGAGTATTTTTCTCCCTTCCAGAAAATAAACAGGCCGGCAGGACTGCATTCACCTCTTCAGATGCTACCAGAAAGTTTCAGTTTTGCATCCAATGGAAATCACTTAGTGAAACAAAGGGCACCACTGCCCCGAGCAACTACTGTTTGAAAGGGAAAACAGTAAGCCCTGTCCAGTTGCTCTGACAGGAAAGGTTTTCTGTCTGCAGAGAGGAGAGGTGTAGGATCCCAGACGGACAAAGGAGTCTGTACTGTGGCCCTGACTCAGACGTTAAGTCTTACAAAAGGACATCAGAGATTATTTTGTGGTGTCCTGGATCTGCTGATAAGCCAGAGTGAAGCTCAGATGGATAATTTCCCTCCTAGGCATGATACAGTTTAGAGGTGAACCTGCATGAAGCAAAGACCCAAGCTGTAGTCATTTACTGCTGGCTAACACAATGGGACAAGATTGCTTTGCATAGATTCAATTTAGGAAATGACATCGAAGCCTGCAGGGACAAGGAAAGGAAATGTATGTCCAAACACAAAATTCCTTGGCTATGACACAAGGAGTAGCAGAGATTGCTGTCATAAGAACAAAGCTGGTGTGTAACCCTCCTCAGATATCACAGTGGGTGGTGGAAGATGACTTAATGCAACTGAAGTCACAGACTATCTCAAGATGTTAGTTTTTTTTCTCTTTCTCTCTGCCTGTTTAAATAAAGATGGACTGGGAAAAAAGTCATGGCTGAGCAAAAGGTTTTCTTCTTTTGGTGCCAGTCTGCATTTCCAATAATGACACAATTTCTAAGGGATCTTCCCCTTCCATTCTCCCAGTCACGCTCCCAGAAAAGCAGTCCTAGCAGATGCTGCTGGAATGGCAAAAGATGCTGCTGCTGTCTCTGCAGGGAAGGAGGGAGAGAGGCAATAAGCCACATTTTGAGGGCTCCACCTCAACAGTGAATTGGCTACTGGTGCCAAACCTAGAAGAGTAACTAATGGAAAATATGAACTTGCTTGACTACTAATTCTCATTGCTTTCACTGTTAAGTATTTCTAGAATAGCAGAAAAACTAAAACTAAAAAATAAAATAAATGGTGGGGTTAGCTTAGAGCCCAGAGCTTAAATTTTAAGTAACAGTGGTAACAGTCTGGAAGTAAGTGCCATAATCAGGTCACCAAAGATCTTGTGCTTATTTTATATTTCCCCACAATTTATGTTCCATGAAGCACCATGAACGAGTAAAACTGTGCTCTGTATTTAAATCTGGTGTTTATCAATCCAGCCAAAGACATTCCCTGTTCACATAAACTCAAAGCTATTTTCAGGTTTAAAATATATTAGTCCAGTTGGATTGGCTCCCCCTCAGCTGAAAAATACTGTCTGTTCAGTCAAGGAGGAAAACAGATGCAGAATGGGACCCCTAAAAAAACCCCCAGGATTTAAACAAGGGAGGTCAGTTTGTATCTGTAACATCTTTTTAACCATTTAGGCCTAGAAGACTTCCCATCAGGAACTAGCTACCAGAGGGGAAGAAATTACAAACTTAGAAAGCAATTTTGCCAGAGGAGCCCTCACTAGGTAGGTCCTCCTGATGCTCACAGTTATTACTCACCAGAGAGACAGCAATCAGATTAACAAGGGCAAAAAGACCACTTTGCCACAGAAAGACTGCAGCATGGAACATTGAAGGCAAATCAAAAATACTTGCAGGATGGCCAGATTGTGGAAGAAAATGCTAGGCCTTCCTTCACCTCTGCCATGTTATCAATTGTATTTAAAACTCTTTCTTCCTGTGACTGTTGAATTTGGACACCTATCATTTTGTCTGCTCTGCAAAGGGAGAGCTCGCTAACCTCCTTCCATGCATGGACACACACCTGTAAAGGTATTAGGAACCAAAACAGAACTGAAAATTCTATCATCCCGTGTGTTTCAAAACCACTTTCTGTACACTGCAGCTGAATTATGCTGTTGGAAAGGCTGAAGACATCACTTACTGCAGGAGGTGCAGTGCAATCCCTTGTACAAATCACACAGTTTCCAAAAACCAATGAAACAAAAGCTCAAAACCCACACTTTTTTAGTGCCTTGGCCAAAGAAAGAAACCAGTGAAACTTGCATAAGCAGTCTCTGACCTGATGCAGTGTTGACTGGTTGTCGGGTGTAAGACACGTTAAAAGTAGGTTCTTCTACTAATGGAGGAGGGTACATCCGCCTTCGGATAAAAAAACCAGCTCCACAACAGAACAAAACCCCCATCATCAAAAGGAACCTAGGCAAAAAGAAGAGGGAGGTCAAAACCTGCGCATTCAGGCAGCACTTAAATCTAGACTGTTCACTGAGAATACATCAGCCTACAACTTTCAGCAGGGTTTCTTAAATAGGTTGCCTCTTGAGAGAAGGTCTGCCATTTGGGATAGCACTCATAAAGCACTTATGGATGTATTAGGGACATCTTCAGTGATTAATATTATACTCAATGTTCTCTGGCATGTAACCCAGAAGTAGAGCACACTTGAACTTTTCAAAAGTTCAGGTTCACACCTGACCTTGGGACTCCTTCTTTAGCACCCCACTGGGATGCTAAACTGAAATTCCAGGCCACAATTTCAAACCGCACATCTTGGATGCAAGCCCCAGGCTTACAGCATCTAGGCTGCTCAGTATGTTTGTGGAGTACAGAGAGGAATACTATTCTTGGCATTAGAAAAAGAATCTTAGATATTCTCAGATTAACTCAACATTTTAATTTTATCTCCCATGGGAAATATGGTAGCTGGCATTTAAGCTCAAGCTGGAAGATTGAAGCATTCACTACTGATGGTGACAAACCTTGCTTTGTGCTTCCTACATTCTCCATAAAAAAGACATAATTTACCTACCATTCACCTCCTCAGCATCTTTTCCAACCTAACTAAACTGTCCTCATTATCTCCTTGCCCTGGTGCAGTGGAAAAACGGACATGAACAAGGGCACATCAGATTCTGTTCTTCAGACAGCACCTTTCACTGTGTTTCCTTCATCAGTCATCAGACACTCCAGTGACTCATGCAAGCTCTTGTAAATAGGAATGGTTCTTCTGCCTGTAATTGCTGTCTTGTTTCATGGCCTCTTACTGGAAGATAATGACAACTGTGCTTTTTTGGACGGCATGGAAGCTGGCCAGAGGCAAGCATACACACCATGCTTATCTCCTCTGGAGAATTCCTTGGTGGCTCAGAGGAAGAGTGAGGCACAGCATGGCAGCAAGAGTTATTTCATGCAAAGGCTTAAACTCTGTTCTTGTTTCTGCATCAGAAATGAGAGCAGAAGGAGGTTCCTTTTCCCTGAACCAATATTAATACATTCCCCTTTGGCAGTGTTCCTGCAAAGGATTTTTTTCTGAACAGAAAAACAGAGATTTACTACGTCACCCCAGGGATTGAGATAGAGAGCTCTTCACTTATATCAGTAAGGATTGTACACTGAAATCCCACAGTCAGCTTTGGGAAATCTCTGTATTATAGTATACATCAGGCTTCTGTTTTTCACTGTTTATTTGTTTCAGTTTTGAAGGCTTTTTTAAAAATCAGTTTTCAAATTCCACATTAAAATGCCTGAAATCAGGTTTTCTAGGAGGGTCTTTGCTTTCTCTTGACTGTAATGAGAAGGTTTTATACAGGTGCTTTCTTAAATTCCACTCCAAAAGGAATTCACCTTATTTTTTCATTATGCAGATAACAGTGATTAGTTTAAGCTTTATCCAGATTACTGAGCTGCTGGTTTCACAAGCTCAATCTTTCTGCCTTCTTTTCCTTTGCTGTCATCTCCAGTGAAATCCTCATAGTCATAAATGTATTTCTCTTCTTTTTTAATTGAAGCCTCAATTCAGCTGTCAACAAGAATGTATTAAACCCTGCCTAAAAAGCACAATCCTGCTTTTACGATCCACTTTTAAATCTGAGTGCCCAAAAAACCAGGAAGAATGTTGTTGCTTGGTAATAGCTGGGACAGACATAAGGAATTCAACAATTCTGGATAAAAGTGGAACCACTGCTTGTACAAAGCAGCGGGATGCAGAAGCAGGAAGGGTCAGCCTGACACGATTAACCTCCTTTTTCAGTGTTTTCTTACTACATCAGGAGAATTTTAACAAAAAAACAAAATTCAGGCATTTCCATGTACACATATATCTTCCTACATTCTTGCACCTGCTGTACTTTAAAACACTGAGGCTGGCAATATCCTAATTTAAGCCCAGCTAACAAGATGAGGACAAACACAGAATTCCCAAATGCCCTGGACATACCAAAAATACCACAGTCGCTGGATAGAGAGAGCTCTTACACAGCATCTCGAGCCACAGCAATCCTCATAGGAGCGACATCTGTGGAGAAATAAAGAGACAGGGGTGTTAGAGGAGTGGTTGTCACTCAGATTATAATGGCATCCCCAACCCTGACACCATTCACACCCCCAAACAAAGCATTATTTTGAGAACAGACTACCCTTGGCTGGATAAAGCTGTCAGTCATATACATGGGACAGCTCTATCCCCATTCAGGAACTTTTTCCTTGTTATTGAAACTATCTTCCTACATACTTGACCTCAAACCACCTCAAAAAGACCAAATATGGTGTTCAATTCTCTATAAAAAAGGACAGGTTATAAAGAAAAGCTGTATCACTGTGTTTTCTTTCACAGTAAATGAACACTGCAGACCCACAACAGATGTTTGGAGTTTTATTCACTGGAACAGACAAGAACTGCTGGAACAAAACTGCCAGATCACCCTTTCTTTGAAATCAGCAGCTTCCAAGCAGAGAAACCACTAAGTGCAGAGAAAATTCCAATCGTACCATTACTTGCAAATTTTATGACCTTTTCTTCTCAGAAGTTGCACTGGACTGCAACTGCCAACAACTTCCATTATTAAAGTAGGCTTTCCTCTAGAACTCTAGAACTCCCCCACACTTCAAATTAATATTTCGTATGCACATTTTCAAAGGTATTACAGCACCAATCATTGTGAGCATGAGGTACAACTTCACAAAAAGCAAGCACATACATTAAAGGCAACCTCTGAACAATTCCTATGGTAACTCCACACCAAAGAAACCTACTAAGTAGAGAAAAGGACCAAGTTTACACAGAATCCATGGTATGTTACAGACTTGGCTGAAAATAAGCATATTAGCATATCCACATACAAAAAGAAAAAGGAAGTGACTGCAACTGGATTGATCTTTTTAAGGGTGTTCACATCTGTGTGCAGAATGCACATATTTATTTAAGTATCTGATCTTGGACAGTTTGCTCAGTTGCATGACTGTACTCCCGTATTTGTATGCAAACTAAAACCATGTCAATTGAATAATTGTACAGACAATTACACATTTACATGCTCAATTAACAAGGCTTCACCCAGAAAATACATTGTCACATTGGCTTCAACCTCTAACTAGGGCCAGAGGAGGATGATCTATGGATACATATTCACTTGTTTTGCAAGTGAGAACAGTTACATGCTCCTGTGATGACAAGTAGGATTTATTCAGGCAAGCTGGAGGATCTGACATGATCATCATGACAAGGTTCGTTAACAGATTCAGGCACCCAGTTTGAGACTCAGGTCAAGGAAGTTGTTCATGCCAAAACAGAAAACACCCACTTTTCTGTCATTGAACTTGAAAGTGACCCATCTGCAATTTTTCTTCTTTAAAGCTTCCCAAGACCCTGACAACTACTCATATTCTAAGCTACCAAACCTCACATAGCTACCAACAAGACTTAGCAAGTCAGCATTAACTTCAGTCCCCTTGGGACCAAGAAATTAGGAATTCCTCCTCCATGTTTCCACAGTGGTTCAACCCTACAGAAGCTTTCAAGACATGCTGAAATCAAGGACAGATTCAGGCTCCTTAAAAAATGGGCTGGAAGCTGCTGCCTTCTGTTACACCAGTGCTCATGGTACCCCTTTGCTCTTCAATGAGCTTTGGTTGGAGCACTTCATCCATGGTGATGGGTACTTGCCCCCTTGGCTGATGCTGCACAGAAAGGATTTTGTTGGGCCAGAAGAGCAGGGAAGAAACAGAGGCCATAAATCTAGAAGCCCTTCTTGAATCCATTAGGACAGAAATAAAAAGAAGGTTTTTAGGAATGTGAGCAATCTTTATCTCTGCCTCCACACACTGACTCTGTCAGTCCAGATGTCAGTCCACCTACATCTGACCACACACAGGATGGGGAGTGGAGGCACCATTTCCCAGAGCCCCAAGAGCTTCACCTGAAATAAAACTTAAACAGAGACGTCACAGAGACTGCACACACACCTCCCCCATGCCCACCCTTGCCTTGCTCATTTTGCACCTGTTTTCTCCAGAGCCAGAAAAGATGGGAAATGGCTATTTCAAAATATATATTTATGGTCATTTAAACCACCAAAATTAAAGGAGCATCTGTAGAGGAATATAGTACCTCAATCTATTTTTTATCTTTAAGTTATCCAGGTTACGAGTCAGCACCATTTTTGAAGTCTCAATGGCTTAGCTTTTATTCCTGCAAAAGAAGGCTAAAGCACCAGCTGGAAGGCAGCAAGGCTACACTGCTGAATATTTATGAAGCTCCTGAGACCACTGACTGACAAACAAACAGGCCATCAAAGAGAAGTGTCAGGTGACTGAACTTTCAAATGGCTGAAAACAATGATGGAGGAGTCTCTGGTGGCTCCAATTCCTGGCAGTCTGTAGGCTTTCTGAGCCAGTTCATCCCAGGCTGAGCGCTGCATTTGCTGGTGGTTCTGTGAAAGTAAACCAGTACCTCAACCCTCACAACCCTTTGAGACATAACACTGGTAACTTTGTCACTTTTTACTCATAAAACCAAACAGGTGCTTTATTCTGTGTGCCCGTGAGAATGGACAAATGTATACATACATATACATAAATGCTCCATACACAGGAGCCTGGAATCAAGGCTGGAATCAAGGATGATGCCAACCTGCTGTTTGTACTCCCCACCACTTGATAGCAGCACCAAAAAGGACTGGAAGAGCGAGCATTCCATTTGCTGATACTGCCATCAGGCTGCAGCAAAAGCTCTGCTGATCTCTTGTTCTTGATTCAATGTACCATGGAAAAACAAGAAAACTCCTGACAATATTGATCCAAATTACATGATAATTAACTTACTTACAAATGCTGTATTTATTAGTTGGCAAATGTCAACAACAAAATCAGCTTATTAAAGGACTAACATGCAAGCTTAAGTATAATAAGTCTTTGATGTGCTATCTCTCACTGCCTGACGGCAAATCACAGCAGAATTAAGACCCTGGTTCATTAAAAAAACCCCATAATTAAGTACATGCACATATATTTATTGAATTGATATGCATTTTCTTTAAACTGAACTCATGCTTTGGCTTTGCTTTACAAGGCCCAATGCCAGCTGAAGCAGAATGAGCCTTACTATCAATCAGAACTGGATTGAACCCATCTCCAGAAGACTTTCCTAAAGTCAATTTCCCTCTTTCACAGATCAGTGGTGACCCCAAGAACTGCATTTCCCTAGGACAATGTTCTTTTAATTGATCAAAAGTTAACCTATGACACAGAACAAGACATAATTAGTTGCTTTGCTAATTTGCAACTTCACCAAGAATTCAGTCTCTCTTTCAAAACTGTCTGCAATGGGATTTATGATTTAGAAGGTACATCTCTTCATTCATAATTCAGTGGAATGAAAGGACTGTATGTGCATTTCCTATGTCTTGAACTGCTGGCACACCAAGAAACTGCTGTATCACAGATCAAAGTTACACAGTGTGTCAGGTCACAGGGACAAGGTTTTTCTCAGGGTTCACATTTAAATCATGGTACCAAACTTCCTTTATGGACAAGCAAAGCATGCAGTTTCACATAAAGGTATATGGTATGACCCAAACCTTACAATCCAGCTTTTTACTTGCCTGAGATCTGTGGATAACAGCTGCTTAATGAAATGGTCCAACAGCTCTTCTCCAAATATACCTGCATCTACACAGTTGAACAAATTCCTTCCTAGTAGAGCTGCTGCAGCAAAGGGCTGCATTCCCTACCACCACCACATCTTTGAAATGGAAGCTGTAGCATTCTTAGGGTTTTGCTCTAGATGTTTTGCATCATAGGGGCCAAAATCCGATTTAACATTTAAAATGTTTGATTAGTAATTTTGGAAGAGTGAAACAAAACATAAATTGTTAATCCACATGTAGTGGCAGAAACCCTACTGTACACACAGAGACAGAGGATGAGCGGGTGAAATAAAACCACAACCCCACATCAACAACCAGATGTATCATCTCTAACTTCATCTTGTTCTGAAGACAAGCCTTACATGAACTCCAAAAAAACGTTGCATACCAGTCATAAATTAAATTATTGCTGCACATATCTGTAAATTCTATGATACAAACTGGGATTCACTGAACACAAGAAGCACTGGCAGTTTTGGAGTGGAGGGCAAGAAAACTAAAGGCAGTCAGAGGACTGTGTAAATGAAAACACAGCAGTAGACCAAAGCTAAGAGCACAAAGGAAACATTTTGGGGAGTTGGTAGTAGCATTAGACGGAGCTAAGAAAGTGCCAGATCCGGCCCTGATATTGGGACAGGCAAAAGACCAGTAGTCCTCATGAGAACTATAAGGGGTGAACTGCTGAGGCTGGGTCATCTCCAGGCAGATTTAATGCTGAGCCCTCAAAGTCAGAAGGTTCAGGTCTGCTCCCATGGAACAGATGACAGCAGACAGCTGAAGTGTGCATACACATTTACTCGTTCCAGGACAAAAAAAGTTTAAAAAATAATCTAATCTTCTTGCAACTCAGCTGCCAGGATGCAATGATGCTGAACAGAGAAAAAACAAATAAGCCTTGAAACAAAAAGAAAAAGCAGGCAATCACCACAAAGTGACTAGCAGAAACAATTCTGATGAAACTCCGAGTCATAGCTGTGCTGTCAATGAGGAGTGATGTCACTGAGGTACATTGCCACAAGACTTAGACCTGAGAGATGAAAAATGGGGAAGGATCTACTGAAGGTGTACTATGTAATTGAGAAGGAGTTACTTTTCTACCAAGTTTACTTAAACTTTTATTCATTTCAGATATTCTGTAAGTGCATTTCCATCCCTCCATAAAAAGCAGTCTTCAAAGCAAACCCACTGCCTGTACTGCTGTCTAAGGAAAGACACAGACTATTGGCTGCAGATGCAGGGAAGATCACCACACAGTGGAGGGGTGATCCTGTTTTGCTACAGGTGCCCACAGAATGTGGAAATCAAAACAGAGTCCAACCCTGCACTCAGGAGTCCCACCTAAGTAACTGTTTTTGAGTCCCAAAGTGGTTTA